TTGTCTGTTTGTTGAGATTATCACCTTGAGCAGTTCGTACAGTCAGAACATGTCTGGTTTATGATGCCGACTCTATTCTCAGCTTTCTCAGCCTTTTGCTACATAACAACAGTTCCTCATCCTAAAAGTAAATATTTCTCTCCAACAGCAGAACCGCCTGCATCATGTTTCTTCTTATTGCACGGTGGTATCCCTGACGACGTCTGCTGTGTTTCAACCCCCGCAAGAGAAGATCACGGGCTGAACTAAACAGTTTACGCTCAACGAATATATCCAATAAGACCAACATTCTTTTTTGATCTCCACACCAGCGGCAGACGCATGCGTCTGAATGAGGACTGCGTCGTTCCTCGTTCCTTTATTGATTCCGCCACTTAACTTTCATTAAGCGTTGAAATTAATGCTGCTGTAGCAGTTCAGTCTGTCGTTCTTGGTCTTATTCAAAACAACTGTGTCTCTGTCGTACATTAACGCTGACCTGACAAAGGCGACATGCAAATTAATTTTTGCTCAATTTGTTAATATCTGCCATCAACCGTGTAGAAACTGGCAGAGTGCGTAGAAAAAAATGAGAAAAATAGACAAGAAAGAAATATATTTATTCACCTGATACCTCACGAATAGAACAATCTCCCGTTCTGGCCTTATTTCGAAAACCATAACCCAATACCTTAAATGCGGTGTCGTTTAATGCACGCTGCATCCAGAGAGACTAGCTTCGGGAAATGTGCGAGAAGCATTAAATCATATACTCTGATGGTATGCAAAAAACAACTGCAGTGACGTAGGTGAACACGTGGCACAGCAGCACTGTGCTAACGCATATACAACGACCATCGTTATCAGGCAGTAAAACAACTGCGTTAGAGGACTTTACAATGGCTCTGGTTCTCTGTTAAACTAACCAACTCCATAATTTGGATTCCAAGGCGAAACAGCGTAACGCTAGGTCTTCTACATAATCAGACAGGTTGTCTGCTCCACTGTTTGCCCCTGGACTGTTCTTCCATGTAGCTTTGCTAAGAACTGTCATTCGCTTGGCGAGTACATATATTAAAGAAAAAAGTTCTGAATGTCACTGATGCCACCAAACGACGTTGGTGTAGTTCACATGCAACAAGTCGACCGTTTTCGTGCTTCCGTCGCTAAAAACGATGAATGTTTGCAAACTGTTGGAAATTCGCTCTCCCTTTAAACTTTATGATTTTGGTTCATTTGCTGATTTCATTCACGAAGCGTATGGCTAGGGATGACCTCCGCTTCTAAACCATTAGTAAGCAGCGCCTTAAGGCAAATTTTGAGGCAAAATCAACGTCACTGTGGCAAGCATACTG